CTGATTGTTAGTTCAAAGTCTTGGCAGGCCTTGCTAAAATGATTCATGAGTTGTTGGAGGTCTTCAGCAGAGTGGGCAACAATGGCTGCCTCATCTGCGAAGAGGAAGTCCCGCATGCATTTCAGCTGGACTTTGGTCTTTGCTCTCAATCTAGAGAGGTTAAAGAGCTTTCCATCTGATCTAGTCCAAGAGACAGACACCTTCTGTTGCAGTTCCAAAGGCCTGCTTCAGGCCTTTTGCAACTACTCTTGCCTTATAGTTCCTTCTTGTGTGTCTCTTCCTTTGCAGTTTTTATTCATCTGGCAGCTTCAGCTGCCAGCATCTGATCAGTCTTCTTCCAGCTTGCACGCTTATTTATCTGTGGTGACTGTGCAAGGTATATGAGGAACCAGCACACCTTTGTTGGGTCGTAATGAGTGTCTGATGGCTTATTCTGGAGCATGTTGTGGTGCTTCTTCCAGCTCAACAGCCTCGACAGCTGCATCTGTGTCATCTTCTCTTGGTGTACTATTCTCAGTTAGTGTGTCATTGCCTTTCTGCTTCATATTTGACTCAGGTTGTGGAGTGATTTGCACAGCACCATCTAGAAGAGGTCCAATACACTCATCTTTTGTTCCTCTGTTGTCTGCTTTCTTTTGTTCATAAAAATGAACCACATGCTTTACACTGATTTCACCTGTTTTTAAGTTCATCACTTTATACATATATGAAGACAAGAGCATAGCCGACCAAAATAGTCTATTCATTTCTAGAGTCCAGTTTATGCATTTTCTGTTTTGATATATAATCATATGTCAAGCTTCCAAAAACTCTGATATGTTTTACACTTGATACTCGGTCATGCCATAGCTCAAATGGTGCTTTTATGGTGCGTTTTATCAGCAATCTGTTCTGGAGATACTTGATTATCATGACTGCATCATCCCAAAATTTGTTGGCCATATGTAGGCACGCTTCTTGTTGTCTCCAAAAGAGCTCTTAGCTTTCTTCCAGCTATTCCATTTTACTCAGGAGCATGTCCAGTTCTCCTGTGCAAAATGCCTTGTTCCTCTAGGAAAACATCTGTATGATGAAAAAGGTATTCACCACCATCTGGATTGTCTTGGGTTTTCTTTCACATGTGTTGCTTATCATGGCCAGGTGCTTCTTCAACATATTATTTGTCTCACTCTTCTTCTTCAGCAGGTAGGTGACACAGTACCTCAAGAAATCATCCACAAATTGTAGTACATATATCTATTATGACCCAGTGATGGGATATTGAGTGGTGCACAAAAGTTAATGTGTATCAGATCCTGCACCCTGGTGTTTCTTCTCTCAGTCCTTAGCAGGAATGAGGACCTAATACTCTTTTCTGTGATACCAATTATACACTTGGTTGTGTTGATTGCATCATGTGGATTTATCTTTATACCTGTAGTGAGTTTTTGTTTTTGTAGCTCAAGAATTGCTTTTGGATCTCTGTGTGCAAAGCGGCAATGACACAGCTCCATGCTGTTGCTCTCTTCTCTGAGCTTAAATTGTGTTGATCTGCTGCTATTCATCTAAAAGACTCAGTCTATCGACAACATCAGTTTAACTGCATGACAATATATTTCACCATCTTTCTTTACTGTCAACTGTCCATTTTCAAAATGTATAGAAAATCCTTTATCATTCAAAGCTGATGCACTTATTGTAACATGTTGCATTATAGTTCAGAAACAAACAATACATAATTTATGGTATTATACGAGTTCAGAAACAAACAATACATAATTTATGCTATTATAACTTATTTCATCTGAGAGATTACATTGCAGAATGCCATTCCCCTTTCCTTCAATTTTCACAGAATCACCATTACCAACTTAAATATTTCAACTGGATATTTAATCAAGATTTATAAAAAAATCTTTTTGTTGTGTACAGTGGCTGGTACAACTGAGCCAATGATCCAGTAACTTGGTTCCTATTCATAGATATAGGCCATGCATGCCTTGTATTTATAACTCTTTCCAGCCTTTCCCATTGTCTCTCTGTTAGATTCAGGCTTTACATATTTTCTGCAATCACTTTGTTCTTTTTATTTAAAACTAGTACAGCTGCTATTGATTGAAGAATCTCTTGGGAATGGGCAATCTTTTGCCATGTGACCCATGCTCCCACAACTCAATGCAGCTGCATGATTGCCTGTGAGGTGTTTCTCTTCTATTGCCTTTCTACTCAGTATGAAATCTGAGCCATTTCCCATTTTGGTCTTAGGGGGTTCTTTTTGGTCTATGCACTTGTCCCTCAGACAATACACACACTTTTGGAAACTTAGGTTCCCTAATAGAAATTGCCTCTGATTTAGAACTGGAAAAACCATAGGATTTTTCAAGTGCTTCTAGCATCACTTCGTTAGCCTTTAATATAGATAATCTGTTTATCTGAGAGGCTTTATGACATTATTGCTTTTCTTCATTCCCATCTTCCAATTTAGCATTTATCTATTCATTTCTTCGACTTTGCTTTTGAAAACATTTAAAGCTCTGTCAAAATATAACCTTTCTTTCCATTTAAATAAGTTAGGATATATTAACTCTCAAAATTTACCAAAAATAATTTGACATGATCAAGATCTATTTTTCCTTTCTCCTACTGAGCAAGTTTGGTTAGTAATCTTAGAAAAGAAAGAATAACTCTTTCTCTTCAGCCAGTTTTAAGGTGTTTTTGGTTAAAAATATGGGGCTGTACAAATGTCATAATTCTCAATGTGAATTCTTACAAGAATTCTTGGAAGATGCAAATTCTCTAAATTTGTCTACAAAGCCCCATGGAATTCTTTTTCATGCTATGTTGTTACTTACTCCTGAATAAACATATATAGGCTGGCACTGTAAGTCCTTAAAAGCAGGAGTATTTTGTTAAAAGCCTAAACACAGCTCATAACCCTTTAAAAATTTAATCCTAATTGCTATTTATATCTGGAAATTATTGAATTTTGCAACTGGCTGATAGAAAATCCAGTCAGTTAGTAGGTCCCTACAAACCTCTGTGCAGAATGTTTGGCAGACAGGAAATTTGAAATATTCTGCACTTTTGTTTAGGCAGAACAGAAAAGCTCTACCTTATATGTCGTATTTGGCCTGCAGGGCCAGATCATCTAGTTTACCGGAACTTTGGATGTGACTTACTTTTTTCTTTTCAGAAGGACAAGGAGACAAATCAATAGGGTTTATTATATTTTATTGTATTTTTTTGTAAGTAGTGCCATATTTTAGTATATGATTTTATTGTATAATATGACCCCAGTATCCATGAGGGACTGGTTCCAAGCCCCCTGAGGATGCTGAAAACTGTGGATAATAATGAATGTTTATACACAGCATGGTAAAAGAAAAATCCAGAAAAAAAAACCCTAGTTTCAACATGTATTACCAGAACTGGGTGTTTATACACAGCATGGTAAAAGAAAAATTGAGAAAAAAACTAGTTTCAACATGTATTACCAGAACTGGCCACTAGAAGGAGCCAGAGACCATGCTACGTATTCTTCAAAAACAAGAATACATAGCATGGTCTCTGGCCCCCTCTAGTGGCCAGTTCTGATAAATAAGAGCCTCTTGGCACAGTGATTAAACTGTACTGCAGCCAAAACTGTGCTCACGACCTGGGGTTCAATCCCAGGTAGCCAGCTCAAGGTTGACTCAGCCTTCTATTCTTCCGAGATCAGTAAAATGAGTACCCAGCTCTCTGAGGAGGGGGCAATATGTAGCCTGCATAATTAACTTGTAAACCAGCCAAAGAGTGCTTTAAATGCTATGGGGTGGTATATAAGCAGAACGTTTTTCTTTTCTTTGTTTCTGCATCATGAAAATACATACTGTATTTCTAGTTTTTTTCCTTTTAATATGTTCAGACCACAGATAAGTGAAACCATGGATGCTGATTCCATGGATACAGGGGTCCTACTGTATATTGGAACCACCCCGAGAGTGGTTCTACTAATGGGGCAGCGTAGAAATGGAAATAAGATAAAATAAGCAAGCCACAGCCTAAAGCTGCATCTGATCTGTTTTTGCTCCTTTGTGAACTTGCTTCTCCAAGGCGAGTGATGTAGGACTGAAACTGTCTGGTCCCTCAAGATGCTGTGTCCCAAGATGGGGACTCAGCCAGCTCCTCGAAGTGCTGGCACCGTCCATGTCACTTTTCCTTTCTCTCCTTCATGTCTCTAGTATCTTAGAAGCCCTTGCTGCACCTCACCTGGGGAAAGCCCATGTCATGAAGCCCACTTTAGAGGAGATTAACTGCATTTTGGCCTTGCCTATTTACTTACTTGCTGCTTATCCTAGAGTGTCCAGTTGCTTTAGACCCTAAAATAGTAAATTTACATTGCTTGAGGCTTATGTTGCCATGAACTGGTATGCAATTGAAGATAGAACTGTAACTGTCAGGATGGCGGGCTTGATAAACCAAACTTGAAGAAGGAAAATTAAGAAATGCAGGGCAGCATTTTCAGCTGTAAACACTGCTCACCCCTACTAGGCAGGGTGTTGAATGTATCAGACAACCTACTCATCATAAAAAAGCAGTTTTGTACACTCATGTACGCTCCTTGTCTAAGTGGCAGAAGTTCACTAACATTCACATACATGTTTTCACTATCATTATATCCATTACCTTTTTTAGCCCTGCAGTGCTGATACTATATTAATATTTTGGAGACAAAGTTGTGTGCCTTTGTGCCCAAGATTTTCTGTGGACATGGTGTAATCATTCCTTTGCACTGGAGCCCAGCCTCCCTTCCCTCAACTAGACAGGTAGTTTCTTCTGGACAGCGATACATATGTGTCAGAGGGCCTGCCTTTCAGCAGTGGGTAAAGAAGCCAAATGGGAGGGTGGGGTGTTTGGACAAATGAGCTATGGGGTTGCAAGGATTAAAGAATAGTAACTCGTGCAGTTTGAATGGAGTCTCATGGGCAATGCGAGGCTTTAGGTTTTTGCTTTCTAATGTTTGTCTCCAATTTTTTGTATAGTAAAAAAGCGCTTGGAAGGGAACAGTGGTGAAATGTCACGGGCCAACAGTTTCACCGAAGATATGGACCTCATCTCTGAAGAGGCGCCTCTGCCCGCTGTGTCTGATGTGTCACAGTAAGTACATCAATTTTTTTAAAAATGGCATTTTAAAATGTTACATGATTGTATGAATACAGAATTGGATGTGTACCAATTTGGCTGTATATTGTTTGCTAGCCAGGAGATAATTACGGCAGACTTTAACATTGAATAAAATTCAGAATACCCTTGTGTGTGTAGCAGTCTAATTGAATAATTGAGTCAGACAGTGGCAGCAGGAATTAGGTTTTCTTACCCTTCCCTGTTTCCACAGTGACTCTTCATTAAGGAGCAGGTTCTCATTGTTCTGCATATGTAAATAACTATCATTTGCTTTAATGTGTTTTTGGAGCATCACACTGACATAGTCATGCACACCTGCACAATGGTAAAACACTACACAAAATAATTGGGTACAATTGTTTGTGTAATTATATTGCAATGGACCTGGACATTCCATTGAATTAGGTTGTGCTTATATGAGCCATAATAATTAAACTGAGGTCCCTGTTTACTTTTTTTAAATTGTTTTGCCCATTCATATGAGTATTTATCATATGTGTCAGTGAAACTCCTCACCAACCCCTCCTTCCATATATAGTCATATGGAAAGTGCATTCTGGTAGTATTTCATCTCTGTGCGCTATGTATTTGTGGAAAATATAAATTAGCAAAAGGAACTAAAAGGTATAATAAGCTGTGTGTGCATGCACAGAGCTCTGTAGAAAATGTGGAAATTTTAAAAAATGGGAAATTGAGTATTCCTAACACATTAGTTTCATTTCCAAAATATGACTGAGTAATTAGAACTCCAAAATATGGAGAGAAACGAAGGATGAGGAAGTCAGAAGCATGCCTCATTTGAAAACTGAGTATTATATTATTTAGCCTAAATCTAATTCCTACTCCCAGCTAGAGTTAGACCCATTGAATCACTTGCTGTGTAGGTGAATCAATAGCTCTGTAAACCCCACTGATTCAAGAGGTCTCTTCCAGTTGGAAATGCCAGTCGTATTCAGGCCTTAGCTACCCTCTGATTCGCAAGTCTATTTTTTATTTTTATTTTTTGGTCTGCGAAGTGACCAGTCATAATAGAATGGAAGTACAGTTTTTACTGTTTTGCTCTTGAGTTATGTCATACTATTTAATTTGAATCTGACTTGGCACAGTTTGTGCTGAATGGCCACTGTGGCTTAGGGCCAAACATGGCATTAATTATATGAATACACTTAACTTGCATTTCTTTTTAATGTAAATATCAGCCATGGGAAAGACTAAGCAGCTTTGGGCCCATGGAGGGTGGGGTGAGGATATTTAACTCTTTCTATCCTTGTGATGATGCCAACAAAAACGGCCTCTCCAAAGGTGCTTTGTGCATTTCATGAGAAGCCCCAAACTAGAGGTTTCCCTTGACATGCAAATCACACTTAGAGAGAGGGAGGCAGTTTTTGATAGGAAGAGGCCATTTCATCCCTCCCCCCCTACGACCCCATCCATTGCGCTAATGCTGCTCAGGTTTCCCCAGGATAGCTATGTACAGAACAAGAAGTGTACCTATTTGCATGAATATAATCATTACCATGACCAGTTTGGACCCAAATTAAAATAAATATTGATTTGGCATCAGTCTTTACATCCAGTTCTGAAATTTCTTGAAATGAATTGGGGGGGGGCAGAAACACGGGGGGGGACCTTTTTTTCCCAACAAGGTACTTCTCAAGGCAGATGGGAACCAAGGTTTTTCTTGGAGATGGAGATTAATCGTCTTTGAATAGGATGTGTATGGTTGCATCTTACTGGCACGGTATTTTAATAGTTGCCTCTTGGTCTGTATGGGTGTCTGTCAGCTGTGGACTTCAGAACAACCAGAGGTTAATAGTTTTGTTGTTGATGGGTGTATATGTATTGGAAAAGTAAATCTGGTAATATACTGATACTATACACGACAGAGCCCCTGGGGATTTTTCACTCCAAAACGATGTGGTTGGTTGCTATGCTACAACTGGCAATTTGCAATTTTAATGGTAAGGTTGGTTTTATATCTCATGTGTGACTCAGTGGATTTCATATACTAATCTTTTGAGCTGGTATAGTAAGTGTTGATTTATAAATAAATGCTCGTGCCTTCTACAGTGCGAAGGCTGGGAAACAACAGCTCCGTTTTGACTCACCCCTCCACATCATGTAATAGAGTACAACTTCCTTTGTGCCATAATGGAATTAAGTGGCGAGTTTTTCTGTGCCTTCTTCCCCTCATTGGCGACTGCCGGCAAAGGCTGCAAAACACGAGACCGAATGACATCAGACTGTGAGGGGGAATCACAATATACATGACGAAGGGAAAAGGGAACCATGCAGTTTCAGTCCTACATCACTTGCTTTGTAGAAGCAAGTTCACGAAGGCGTAAAAACAGTTGAGACATTGTTGGCGCTCTGGTTCATATTTGTAAAGGATTTTATTTTATTTGCTATATTAAAATGAGCTCTCACAAGTTTTGGAGAGCTTAGTTGTGGCCTGGGCAGGCAAAGGGACAGAGGAGTACTCAGGAGATCTGGGTTCAAAGCCCTGCTTGGCCATGAAAACTCACCTGAGATAGTGGCACTGAAAACCCCCTCCTTGAAAATGCTCTTATGGTCACCATAAGTTGCAAGCAACTTTATTGCCTATAGCAGTGGTTCTTAACCTTGGGTACTCAGGTGTTTTTGGACTGCAACTCCCAGAAGCCTTCACCACCAGCTGTGCTGGCTGGGGTTTCTGGGAGTTGCAGTTCAAAAACACCTGAGCAACCCAAGGTTAAGAATCACTGGCCTATAGCAACATCAAGAGACTTTGAGAGACATTATTTACTAGATGTGAGCTGTGGTCACAACTTGCGTTAGAAAACCAGTCTGTTTGGTGGTGAAGGGTCAGAGTAGACGGACTGTATTGGTGCACATGATTTACCAATTGGTCACATATTTATAGTTTAACCTTTCTGATTTTGACTGACATACTTCTGCTACTAACCCTCACTGTGCAAGTTTACGTAATTACATTATAACCACGTATGTACATCACGGTCCTTAACTACCTGTTTCTTTTTTTAAACACAGACGTATAACCAGGTAAGCTTATATTAATACACTGAAATCTGCTTGGAGTGTGGCAACAGTGTGGTTCGTTTTTATGCTTGATGCATTTAAAACAAAAATTCTTAGGACTGTTAGCCCATCATGCTTCTCCTGGTCACTTCTCACCGAATCTTCACAGCACCAATACCTGATAGGAAGCATGATGGGCTTGATTTTATCTAGGAATGAGCCTCCTTACCTTTTTTTGAATGCCATAGCTCAGAAGTAATAGGTTCTGTGTTGTTTGAAAATACTTTGGACTTGCCGATAAGCCTAGCCTTCTGAGAACAAGCAGCTTGCTGGTAGACTTAGCTCATTCACTCCCACTTTGCTTTTTTCTTCATGTGAGAGGCAGAAAAATGCTGGAAGGAGATGGGTTGCTATACTGTGTGAAACCAGAACTCTATCTGGTTGCTGCCAAATATGGTAGGATCAGAAGCCAGGTACCATGTTAAGGAAAGAAAGGATCAAAGCAAAAGCAAATGGTCTGTGTACGCTAGCATGCTGCTTATTCACAGTAAACTGGGGGAAATCCATGAGTCATGAGCACCTGTTACACGCAGACACAGCCATTCTCTTTAGATGTGATGTAATAAATGTTGTTAGGCATTCTGATTTGAGTTGGAGTGCTCACTAAGAAGAACTGCTGTGTGGTCAAATTGTTCTCTGTTGCCTGTACATGCTGCAAAGAGAATGTTGAGATGTGGTGGTATGTGTTTGTTTTCCAAACTGATGGCATGATTATCTCAAAGATACCATGTGAAATATGTTGCATTGTTTATAAAGTATGCATTGAGTAAAATACATATGCTTCAGGGCTTCAGTTACTCCTTTTCAATGTTTTATTGTTTCAGTGTTTTAATCAACAATATAATGAAATGTATTAAGTTTTTAAAAAAGTTTTACATTTCAAGATACTCCGGATTTACAAAAATATATTCTCTTGTTGGTAACTCTCTCACACACATCCATAGATGCCCATAGGGCAAACCAGTATTCTTATGGTGATCCTTGATCTTTCTGTCTACTTCAGGGGTATCCAAACCTTTGAGAATGAGGGCCACATCGTATCTTTTCTACATTTTTGAGGGCCAAAGGAATGTGTGTGTGGACACATGCACATACGTCCAGCCACACAGCCACACACATGGATGCACACATGCAACCCCTGCACGCACACAAACTGAAGGGAATGGGCGGGATAAAATGGCAAGGCAGGCCAGATGTGGCCTGCGGGCCAAAGTTTGGAGACCCCTGGTCTCATTATATGCCATTTTGATGCTGTTAAAATTTTGTTATAATGGGGCAAACTGGGAGCAGGTTCTTTCTGAACTTCAGACATTAAAGAGAATGATGCTCTTCTTACTCAACTATAAAAAGAAAGCTGAAAGCCCTTGTACCAGTTTTGAACAAACCACAATAGTCTCCATTATACCTGAATGTGGGGGAAGTGGTTTCTTCTAACAAACCAACTTTGCTGAGATTGAATGGGTGTTTGTTTGAAAGTGGAAGCAAACGTTTCCTGTCTTCTTCCACCATTCAAAAGGACAAGGGGCAGTAGGCACATGAGCCAGTCTGCTATACACACACATAATGAAACTTAATGAACAACAGTGTATAGTGATTGCAGATGTAAGTGGAGGAGCAGCAACAGGGAAGAGGGAGGTACTAGTCAGCATCCTTCCCAACTCCCTTCCTCTAGAGTTCCAGATAAACAGGAGGAAGATCAAGAATAAACTCATCTCGCTAAGAAATAATCACTTTACTGCATTGACTTCACATGGTACCAGTCTTCCTGACTTCTATGTCTCAGCTTCAAAGGGACGACTGCACTTGAAATTTTGCCCTTTTGAATTTCTCCATGGATTTTAGGTCCAAGGTACCTATGTCTATTTCTGAGGGGGAAACACTATATTAACAATTCT